CAGCCTCCCAAAGAGCTGGGATTATGGGCATACACCACCATGCCGGTTTTTTTTTTTTTTTTTTTTTTTAAAAAAAAACGTTTTAAAAGTTTTTTGTAGAGACAAGGTATCACTTCATTGTCCATGCTGGTCTCTAACTACTGGGCTCAAGCAATCTTCCCACCTCAGCCTCTTAAAGTACTGCAAACACATGTGTGAGCCTGGCTGGTCATTAAATATGAAAGCCTAAGATGTCCCTAAAAACTCAGAGTTCCTCAAGAGTGAAATGCTAGAAGGCAGTAGGAAGATATGGAGGATGTAGCTTTGAAAGTAGTCATAGTTTGTTTAAAAAAGGTTTTTTTTTTTTTTTTTTTTGGTGCCATCATGGCTCACTGCAGTCTCACCCTCCTGGGCTCAGGGCTCAAGTGATCCTCCCACCTCAGCCACCAAGTAACTGGGTCTGTAGGCACATACCACCACACTGGCTTACTTTTCAAAATTATCTGTAGAGACGGGGTCTTCCTATGTTGTCCAGGCTGGCTTTGAACTCTGGGCCTCAAGCGACTGTCCAGCCTTGGCCTCCCAAAGTGCTAGGATTACACGCATGAACCGCCTTGCCCAGCCTCTATTTTTAAAAATTATTATTTGTGTCCTTACTAAATTACACATTCTCTGGGGCTCAAGTTTATAAAGAGCTACAAACAACTCAGGAATTAGTAGGACAGAGTAATAGTCTTAATGCTGAACAGCCTTAATAGAACAAAGGCACAATCCTCTCTCTGCCTTATTCCCTTGATGAGCAAATGGACACCATGCTGGAAGAACTCCTTCCCTAAATTTTATTTGGCATTTATTTAGTAATTTTAAAGTATTCCTTTAGGGGTTCTATTCTATACCAACAGCCAAAGTGTTATAGATTCTGTTGTAAATCAGGTAATCTGTCACTGGGTCAATGAAGAAGACATAATTTTGACCCTTATAAAGAATGCACTCATGTCTGGGTGCAGTGGCTCACACCTGTAATCCCAACACTCTGGGAGGCTGAGGTGGGCAGACTGCTTGAGTCCAGGAGCTCAACACCAGTTTGGACAACATAGGGATATCCTGTCTCTAAGAAAAAATTTTTAATTTTTTGCCAGGTATGATGGCGTACACCTGTAGTCCCAGCTGCTTGGGAGGCTAAGCCATGAGGATCGCTTGAACCCAGGAGGCAGAGGTTGCAGTGATCTGAGATTGCACCAGCACACTCAAGCCTGGGCGACAGAGCAAGACCCTGTTTCAGATGGAAAAAAAAAAAAAAAAAAAAGGCACTCACTGGGTACTCTGTCAGAAGTAAAGCAGTGTCTTATCTAAAGACTGAGGATTGGAAAGCTGGTATAATAGGAATACAGGAAATAGAACCGAGAACTGTAATGGGTCATAAATAATCGCCCAAATGCCCATAGGATCCCTGGAGAACACAAGATTTGGATCGTATTAAAACGGAGTTACTCTATCAAATGCAATGCATGGTCTTTGATTAGATCCTGGTTTGAACAAATCACCCATAAAACTATTTTGGGGACAAGTGGCAAATTTGAATATGGACTAGATTTTAGATATTAAGAATTATAGTAGCCACTGCGCTCCATCCTGGGTGATGGAGAGAGACCCCACCCTGTCTCAAAAAAAAAAAAAAAAAGAATTACAGTTAAGTTTGAGATGCAATAGGCCGGGCGTGGTGGCTCACGCCTGTAATACCAGCACTTTGGGAGGCCAAGGCGGGAGGATCACAAGGTCAGGAGATCAAGACCATCCTGGCTGACAGTGAAACCTCTACTAAAAATACAAAAAAATTAGCTGGGCGTGATAGTGGGCGCCTGTAGTCCCAGCTACTTGGGAGGCTGAGGCAGGAGAATGGCATGAACCCGGGAGGTGGAGCTTGCAGTGAGCCCAGATTGCGCCACTGCACTCCAGCCTGGGTGACAGAGCAAGACCCCATCTCAAAAATAAAAATTAAAATTAAAAAAAACTCCAACACTTTACAAGATCTAATCCCTGTCTATCTATTTAGCCTTTCTTCATTCCTTTTATTTGCTATGCTTCAGGCACACTGACTTTCTTTTAATTCCTCAGGAGTCAAGCTCTTTCCTTCCTCAGGGCCTTTGCATACATGCTCTATCTGCTTAGTTACTCTTTTTTGGCCAACTTATTAAACTAGAAGATTCACTTTTTAGGTATCATTTTATTTTTATTTAATGAATTAATTTATTGAGACAGAGTTTTGCTCTTGTCACCTAGGCTGGAGTGCAACAGCATGTTCTCAGTTCACCGCAACCTCTGCCTCCCAGGTTCAAGCGATTTTCCTGCTTCAACCTCCCAGGTAGCTGGGATTACAGGCGCCCACTACCATGCTCTGCTAATTTTTGTATTTTTAGTAGAGATGGGGTTTCACCATGTTGGCTAGGCTGGTCTCGAACTCCTGACCTCAGGTGATCCACCCACCTCAGTCTCCTAAACTGCTGGGATTACAGGCAGGAGCCACCATGCCCAGCCTCAGGCATCATTTTAAATGTGACCTTCTCAAATATATCTTTCCTGATACTCCCTAAGTTAAAAGTCCTGATAAAAGCAACTAAATTATAAATCCTGATAAAAACACTCACAGCTTGTGATATGTATCCTTAACAAAATGTATCTCAGTAGAAATAAATTAACAATTATTTGTGTAATTATTTAATATCTGCCCCTTGTCAAAGTAGGAGGTCCTTAATAGGCAGACACTATAGCCGCCTTGCTCGTGGCTATATTCTGACTACTAGTGAGCACCCAGACATGATACATGCTCAATAAATATTTGTTAAATAAATGAATAAATCCTAGACTTGAAAGGTCAGGTTAAGTAAGAAATAAAATGATTTAGCAGTATTCACCATGTAGCAATAAATCTGATCCTTATATCCTTTGGCCTCAGAATTCTGAGGAGTATGGATGACTCTGGGCCCATATCTGACATAGATATAGCTAAAATGTTGAGGTTATACAAATGAGCTGTTGCTATAACCAAGATAGGGAGAGCCAGGGCTTTAAGGGTATTCTTACACAGGCAAACAAATCATTATTTTATACTACTCTGTGTAATTCACTGACTAAAGTGTTGAAGAAAATATGAAGATGTAATTCATGACCTTAATAAGATACTTTCGTTTAGAAAAAAAAATGACACATTTACATGGAAAGAAAACTGGTAACTAGGTATTAACCAATAAGGGCTAAAAAAAGATGATGTAGCCAATAACAGCTAGATGATGGTTAGACAACTGTACTCTGCCTTAGCTGCACATTAAAATCACCTGAAAAGCACTCAAAATTAATCATGCGCAGATCCCACCTCCATTTAATGGAGTTGGTGGTAGGTTCTGAGGACTGGCATTTTAAAAAAAGCTTCCCATACAGTTTTAGCATACAATTTGGGTTGAGAACCAGTGGTTTGAGGAAAGTAGAAGTAGCTTTACTAAAGAGTTAGTATTTGAAATGTTTCTTAAAGGATGGGTAAAATTTGGACAGGCAAAAAGGAATGAGAAGAGCTTTCCAAACAGGGCTTAAGGAGTGAGATATGGCAGGAAAGTGCAGAAATTAGAAGGTATAATGTATGTATGAGATGGAGGGTTATCAGTGAATAGACACCATTTTGGCTGAAGTAAAGTATTGGTGAATAGAACATATCTTGTATTTTTATCCCCATGCATGAAGTGCTACTGAACATTTTCGGTATATTATTGACGGCATCAGTACGGTATTCTACTGTACTACTGAAGGAATCTATACCTTCAATAGGTATAAGGTGACAAACTTCTGAACTAGGTGAAAGCTCTAACAACAAAAAGAATGGCTATAAGAGATAAAAAGAGTAAACCAGTAAATGACAGAGCCATAAATGGCACTATAGGAAGAATTTAAAGCTACACATTATTAAAGAATTTAATGTTTGGTCACACCAAATTCATTAAACTTTAATAATAGCAAACCATCATAAAGGCAAATCATCTAAATAAATAAAGTTTATTCTAAATTCCTTTAGCACTGAAATATAAACTTCCATCATTAGATGTCATCCTAGTTCTGGCCGGGCGTGGTGGCTCACGCCTGTAATCCCAGCACTTTGGGAGGCCGAGGCGAGTTATCACCTGAGGTCGGGAGTTCAAGATCAACCTGACCAAAATGGAGAAACCCCGTCTCTACTAAAAACACAAAATTAGCCAGGCATGGTGGCGCATACCTGTAATCCCAGCTACTCAGGAGGCTGAGGCAGGAGAATTGCTTGAACCCAAGGTGGAGGTTGTAGTGAGCCAAAATCACGTCATTGTACTCCAGCCTGGGCAACAAGAGTGAAACTCCATCTCAAAAAAGAAAAAAACGAAAGAAAAAAAAAAAGCTTGGGCATGGTGGCTTACGCCTGTAATCCCAGCACTTTGGGAGGCCAAGGTGGGCGGGTCACCTGAAGTCGGGAGTTCGAGACTAGCCTGACCAACATGGAGAAACCCTGTCTCTACTAAAAATACACAAAAATTAGCGGGGTGTGGTGGTGCATATGCCTGTGATCCCAGCTACTCGGGAAGCTGAGGTAGGAGAATTGCTTGAATCCGAGAGGCAAAGGTTGCGGTGAGCCGAGGTCGCGCTATCACACTCCAGCCTGGGCGACAAGAGCAAAATTCCATCTCAAAAAAAAAAAGAAGTCATCCTAGTTCTATCTCTAGGGTTTATCTTTTTTTGATTCTTAGAAAGAAAATAATAAAATACTTATTGCAAAGATCTGTGAAAAAGAAGTGGAGAATTAAAAAACAAAAAGTGATTTGAGGTAACACTTCAATTGTTAATCCATCCCATCTTTATAAAGTACTGTATTTAATAATTACCTTCATAATTTGATGGTTACAAAATATTATGCTAAAATCTTTTATTTATAAGCAGATCAAAAGACATCTCTAAATCAAGCTCTTTTGATTTAGAATCACAATTAAATAGCTATTTCTATATCATACCTTGTATTTGGTCATGGTGCTAAAATGATTATTCCGAAAGAACACACAAAGTTCTCCTTCCTGAACCGTTGAAGTTAGTTCACATAATCCATGGTATGTCAGTTGAGTGGCTGTGTTATTTAGAAACTGCTCAGCTACAAAGCCTATAGAACCAATGCATAATATTAGATAGAATAATTTCAAAATTAAAAAGTTATTCTTTTTCTATTTAAAGTGTGTTCCAAGTATGGAAAAAGGCCAATCATTATAATACTTTCCCTACTACTTTATGATGACTCCAAATTGGACATCTGTGATTTTAATTTTGCTATGAAATATGTGTATACAGAAATTCCTAACCTAAAGAAATAGTTACGTGAAATTCTTTTTTATAAACAAATGAATTTACTTATACCTCACCTACTATTACAAAGGATTTCATGCAGGTTGCAGTAAAAAAGCAGACACAATAAAACTAAAACTCATCAAAGCAAATAAAAAGACAGGTGTCAGGCAATTTTAAAAATGGGTAGGAAAGAAAAATGTTAGTCAACAGCTACCTTCCCAGTAGCAAGGTGTTTTCACATTAAAAGATTTTACAAAAATCGTAGATAATTCTTAAACTTCTCAATTCTCAATTGTAAACTTCTCAATTCTTGCTTTAAAACTACAAGTAGGCATAAGGCTGAAGAGAAAGCCGTGGGATAAATGATGCCATTTGTAATGGTTTTTAATGCCATTTTTATTCTAATCTCCTCCAACATATGCCACTCATGTAGCTGTATCAAGTTTGGAAACAGATCTTATGGCTTTTGTTTCTGAAATACAATAAAATAAGCAGAAGTGATCTGGGGTATAGTTTAAAACATATATATACACACACACACACGCACACAGCTGATCTTCATAAACACAATTGATCCTCATTGCAAGTTCATATCTGCAAGTTCATCTGCTGGCTAAAATTTATTTAGAACCCTCAAATCAACACTTGCAGCATTTTTATGCTTGTTTGTGTACATGTGAAGACCGGTGAAAATTCTGAGTGGCCCAATGTGCACATTCCCAGCTGAGGTCAAACAAGGCAACATTCTGCCTTCTTGCTTCAGCTCTCTCACATACTGTAAACAAGTGTCCCTTTCATGGTCTATTTAGTGCCAAGTTTTTCACATTTTTATGCCTTCTGTTGGTGATTTTGCTGTTTCAAACAGCATCCAAGCATAATGCCAAAGTGCTGGCTAGTATTCAGCAGACAAAGGCTGTGATGTGCCTTACAGAAAAAATACATGTGCTAGGTAAGTTTCGTTCAGGCATGAGTTATACAGGTTGAGAGGCTGAGTATCACTTATCTGAAATGCATGAGACTAGAAGTGTTTTGGGTTTGGATTCTTTTGGATTTTGCAACCTTTGCGTTATACTTATCAGCTGAGCATCCCTAATCTGAAAATGGGAAATTTCAAATGCTCCAATGAGCATTTCCTCTGAGCGTCATGTTGGTGTTTAGATTTTGGAGCATTTTGGATTTTGGATTTTCAGATTAGGCATATTCTATCTGTAGTGCTGTTGGCTGTGAGTTTAACGCTAGTGAATAAACAATATATATTAAATAAGGTGTGTTTAACAGAAACACACATAAAACAAGTTTATGTATTGATCAGTTGATGAAAATGTTGTTACCAAAGGCTCCTTGGTAACTAACTCATATTTATCCTAGGGACAGTAGTTCAGCATTCACTACTTCAGTGTTCACAGCAACTTTATAGAACATAGCTACCATAAATAATGAGAATCAACTGTATACATATTTTTTTAAACTTGTATTTCTCTTCTTCCTTGCGTCCTTCCTTTTGGAGTAAGGAGACATGTCTCAGAAGCAATGGGAGAGGAGGGAAGGGAATGCCCTAAAAAGTTTCATAAGTGATCTGAGAGATATAGATATAAGGACTAAAGATAAATCTGTGGTATGAAAGTAACACTTCAACAATAAATTTAAAATAAAACTTGGTAGGGCCAGAAGCAGATAACATAGGTTTATTCCACTCCCTAGACATCCCTTAGTGTCAAACCATAGTACTTCAAGCTACAAAGCAGTTGTAAAAAGTTACCACACTATAGTTATCACACTACTGCAAGGACTTTGTTATGACAGAAGTACAAAAATTATAAAGAGGTCTATAGTCAAAAGAAATTCATTGAATACTTGCAACTTTTTCGGTTTATACATTTAGATATAAGAGGTTTCTCCACCTGATTACTGCTGTTACTTTGCCAAGTACTAAGTGACCATATACTAATGAATAGCATTTATGATGTACACTAGTAAATAGCATTTACTATTACGTAGCATTTAAAGAGTAGGCATTATGCCTGTGCTGAAAAGTACCACTGCTGTCTGTAATATCTGTATTACTAAATGTTCCCTTCAGAAAGATGTTTCTAAATGCCCCTTCCATACCTTACTCACACAATATCTTCTCTACAGATCCCTCTCAAAAATATACAGAAATTCAGTAGATATCTAGCACATTACTTTCATGTTAGTGTGAAATTCAAAAATTCAACATTAGAAAGGTCTTTCTCTGCTACTTCTTTTTACAGAATAGGACATAGGCTCAGAGAGAATAAGTGACTTGCCCAAGGACATAAAACTAGTTATGGCAAAGTGAAGACTGTAACCTAGGAGAATTATTATGGGTATTAAGTTTTAAAATTTATTGCAGATGAGTATTATAAATGCCACCTGAATTATATCTCTCCCAAAACCATACAGCATAACTTATTAAGAACTAGAAAAAACAATGTTTCGTAATTCTCCTGTCATCTCTTGAACAGTGGTTTTAGTGGAAAAGGCTAATCTAGTCTTAACTTTTTACAACTATTTAAACAAATTTTGGAAAACAACTCTAAGTGTTACACAGCGGTTTATTTATCTGTAGACTTATCAGAGCATCATTATAACGCTCAAAGAGGTGTTACTGATTCAAATAATCCATGGTTTATTTACAACATTCACATTAAATCTCAATTTTATTGTTAGATATTGTTATTGATGATACTAAAGGTAAAAAAATTCATATAACGATAATAGAGTATTATTCATGAGAATAAATGTAAGCCTTATTTTCCTGAGAAGATTACTATATTTGAAAATATTTCTTATATTCAGAAATTCAAGGCTGGGTGCGGTAGCTCATGCCTGTAATCCCCACACTTTGGGAGGCTGAGACGGGCGGATCATGAAGTCAGGAAATCGAGACCATCCTGGCTTACACAGGGAAACTCCTTCTCTACTAAAAATACAAAAAAATTAGCTGGGCGTGGTGGCAGCGGCCTGTAGTCCCAGCTACTCGGGAGGCTGAGGCAGGAGAATGGCATGAACCTGGGAGGCGGAATTTGCAGTGAGCCGAGACTGTACCACTGCACTCCAGTCTGGGCGACAGAGACTCTGTCTCAAAAAAAAAGAAAAAAAGAAAAAAGAAATTCAATAATAAATTAGTTCATTAAACTGTTTTCCTCTATTACTGGACAGTTATTAGAGAACATGAAAGTAATGAATGCCTTACAGATGGTGAAGTTAGAAAGACAGGTACTATCATTAGGTAAAAAGGAATAGAATGTAGAAATAGGAAGGAAGGAAATTTGATTTATTTAAAAATGTTGCCTAGATGTGATCCTGTCTGAGATTTGTGTTCAAATTTAAGCTTAGTCAGAACTTAACTTGTCACTGTGACAGCTTTAAACAATCTAATTTTAAAGAATTTAATCTATATTTAAGTTTCAAAGATCAAATACATTATATTAATGTATTTTTTTCTCAAAAGGATGGGCAAAACAATTTATTTTAATGACAAATGCCCAGATTTTACTTGAAAAGATAAAAGCTCATATAATTTTTTTTTTTTTCTTTTTTTTTTTGAGACAGAATCTCACTCTGTTCCCAGGCTGGAGTACAGTGACGCTATCTCGGCTCACTGCACACCTGGCTAATTTGTTGTATTTTTAGTAGAGACAGGGTCTCACCATGTTGGCCAGACTGGTCTCCAATTCCTGACCTCAGGTGATCTACCTACCTTGGCCTCCCAAAGTGCTGGGATTACAGGCGTGAGCCACCGCGCCCAGTCCACTCATATGATTTGATTCCAGGAGTGCAGTAGGGAGCCCAGAACATTTTACTGTGCCAAAAAATAAGTGCTCAAGGAAAGATGAGGAGATACAAAAGAACACAAGACCCAACTTGAGGGCATCCCACTGGCCATATCATATTTAGAACAATTAAAGCATCAAAAAGAATAATGATAATGGATTATAATACACTGAATAAAAAGGAATCCATGAGTTTATATTGATATAATTTTTTTTAATGGGGAAGGAGGAGAAGGAAGAGAAGTGAAAACTGTTCTGTTACAGAAGAATAACAACTAATAAATAGAAGGAATAACAGAAATTATGACCACCACAGTAATAATTGATTCAGGCAAGAATCAATGGATGCCAGATCTACTGGGTGAAAGATTATTAAGGAATAGCATATTCACAGAGTTTAAAGAATAACATCACAGGTGACTTATTAACTACCAAGGGAAAAGGGCATCTTTACAGTATTAAAACCTGGCAGATATTATCTTATATTTGAACATCACCAATAATGAGATAATCAGGCTCATGTGCCCCCGATTTGATGCACTGGGAAAGACATAATGTCACCTATGTAGCATCCCTGCCAAAAATATATAACCTGAATCTACTAATGAGGAAATAATCAGATGAATCCAAATTGAGGAATATTCAATGGAACAACTGGCCTGGACTATTTTAAAAAGTCAATGTCATAAAAGACAAAAAAGGAAGGAAAGGAGGGAGGAAGCAAGGAAGGAAAGGAGGGAGGAAGCAAGGAAGGAAGGGAGGAAGCAAGAGAGGAAGGAAGGAAGAAGGTTATAGAACTATTCTACATTACAGAAGACTAAAGAGATGTGACAACTAAATGATTCTTAATAGGAGCCTACATTGAAAAAAATTAAAAGCTGTAAGGGGCATTACTGGGAAAATGGGATAATTCTGAATATGAACAATATTATTAAATAATATTGTATAAATGCTAAATTGCTTGAGATAATTGTATCGTGATTATATAGGAGAATTTATATAAGAGAATTCCTTGTTCTTAGGAGACAAATGATGAAGCATTTACGGGCAAAGTGCTATATTTGCAATTAATTCTCACAAGATTTAGGGAAAAAAGAGTGTGTGGGGCTAGGTGCAGTGGCTCATGCCTGTAATCCCAGCACTTTGGAAGGCCAAGGCGGGCAGATCACCTGAGGTTGGGAGTCTGAGACCAGCCTGACCAACATGGAGAAACCCCATCTCTATTAAAAATACAAAATTAGCTAGGTGTGGTGGTGCATGCCTGTAATCTCAGCTACTCGGGAGGCTGAGGAAGAAGAATCACTTGAACCTGGGAGGCAGAGGTTGTGGTGAGCCAAGGTTGCATCATTGCACTCCAGCCTGGGCAATAAGAGCAAAACTCCGTCTCAAAAAAAAAAAAAAAAAAAAAGATTATGTGTTCGGTGTGTAGGAATACAGAAAAAAAGAAAACATTCAATATATTAACAATTGGTAAATTTAGGTAAAGAGCATATAAATGTTCATTGTGCCATTATAATATTTTTTATGGGTTTGAGATTTTTCAAAATAAAAGTTGAAGAAAGAAAAAGGAAACCAATATTATTTAATGAAAATAATAAGCCAAACTATAATGTTCAGTATTTATGGCACATAATAAAGGCTCAATAAATATTTTAATAAATGAATACATATCCTAGAAATATTTTTATAAGTGTACTTTTGTCCTAGGATCAACTGTTAAAGAAACATTCCTAGGCCGGGTGTGGCAGCTCACACTTGTAATCCCATCACTTTGGGAGGCGGAGGTGGGCAGATCAGCTGTCAGGAGTTTGAGACCAGCCTGGACAACATGGTGAAACCCTGTCTCATCTAAAAATACAAAAAATTAGCCAGCGTGGTGACGTGAGCCTGTAGTCCCAGCTACTTGGGAGGCTAAGGCAGAACAACTGCTTGAACCCAGGAGGCAGAGGTTGCAGTGAGCCGAGATTGCACCACTGTACTCCAGCCTCCAGCCTGGGCAACTGAGCAAGACTCTGTCTCAAAACAAACAAACAACCACCACACACACAACAAAAAAGAACGATTCCTGAGAGCATCTGGAATTAAATGAATAGCTCTGGTGAAGTCTGGCTGCTGGTACTGTGCTTTTTTTAAACTTGCTGATTTTTGCTGCCATGAAAAATCAGCATCATCACAACCAGATTCAAAAAGGTATTGTTTCTATTCATCACTATACTGGAAAAGAAGTAGAAAATAAAAAAGGTATCAACACCCAAAAGCACTGTGTTCTACAAATAAGTATTCTACGTAAAGTAGAAATTCTATACCTTTACTTACAAGGTATTTGTATCAAGAAAAGTGAATGTTATCTAAAACAAGTTGAAAGAACACCTAACTCTATTTGATTATTTGCTAAATAACATTTCTTTTTCCTTAAAAAGGAATTTGAGGGAATATATTTCTTATTCTCTATACCTTGATAGGAAATAAAATGTGTGAATTTTTAAAAAGTTATCACCGGTGATCAAAACTTTTTTTTTTTTTAATAAAGATTAGAAATAAGTCAGCTTTGAGGTATTATACTGATTTAAAGGGAAAGCTACAATTGCAGGCTAAACAGAAAAAGAAAGCAGATTATTTCAACTGAACACCACTCAAGATAATATGATATATGATGGGCTGGCTGAGGTGGCTTATGCCTGTAATCTCAGCACTTTGGGAGGTCGAGGCTGGCAGATCACCTGAGGTCAGGAGTTCGAGACCAGCCTGGCCAACATGGTGAAACTCCATCGCTACTAAAAATACAAAAATTAGTCAGGCATGGTGGCACATGCTTGTAGTCCCAACTACTCGGGAGGCTGAGGCAGGAGAATTGCTTGAATCCAGGAGGCAGAGGTTGCAGTGAGCTGAGATCATGCCACTGCACTCCAGCCTGGGTGACAAGAGCGAGACGGTCTCAAAAAAAAAAAAAAAAAAAAGATAATATGATGAAGAAAAATGATGAAGGAAACCTAATTGCTAAAAAGTAAGTAAAAATGTCTATTATGGTCTATTATGGCCTTTTATTTTCCATGATTTCTTAGTGTTTTATACAAGTAACCATTAGTGTTAAGTATTTCAAATGAACTACATATTTGTAGTCACTTATGAACAAATATCTAGTTTAGCTTTTTAATTATGCTGAATGACACATATAATTATTCTTTAATATGGAAATCTGGCATGTAGAATTTCACCACTATGAAATTTATATATCAAGGAAGTAATCAATAAATATACCCAGTAGATATTCCCTAAAAATTCTATACCATTTTAGAGGGTTTCTTTCTTTGCTTTTACCATGATGTTCTTCCTAAATTATCAATAACACATATATTAACTATAGTTTTTCGTTATCCTGAGGAATCAATGTCAGAAAAATAATAATATTTGTGACATCAGGTTAAGGAAAAAGAAGTAATGAAGGGACTGACTTTTTTGTTCATTTTATTAATTATTGTAGTACTAAGTCCCATCCTTACTGTATTTGTAGCCATAATTGGGAAAGATGTTAAAAGTGTTCCACATAACTTCATACTCCATAAGTCAGTTTATCCAAGTATTACTTCTTGGCTAGCATTCTGTCTGTTACCACTTTCTGAATCATATTGTTCCTTCAAGTACTACTGAATAGCATACTCTAGTATACTGGACATTACTGAAGAAGGATTCCATAGATAGACATTTTTAAAATAGGAGCTTCTTTTTAGTAATATATCTATGGTAATGAGAGCTTGTATAGGAATGCAAACTTCCAGTGAGTGGAGTTTTTCCCCCCTACAGTCTAGTTCATTGAGAAGGAATTTTGTTAATTGAGATAAAACACTTTTCTAACAGTTTTTGTTGCTTCCTTCCCTCCTAAAATTTGAACATTGCTGCCTCATGCTGTAACGAAAGAGTTGTCAGAGAAATCAACAATCAACGACTGTATAATGTTTTTTGCTTTTTGTTTTTTTTTTAAGACAGATTCTATTCTGTTGCCCAGGCTAGAGTGTAGTGGCATGATCTTGGCTCACTGCAGCCTTGACCTCCTGGGTTCAAGTGATCTTTCAGCCTCAGCCTACCAAGTACGTGGAGCTACAGGTGCCTGGCTAATTTTTTATTTTTATTTTTTAGAAATGGGATCTTGCTACATTGCCCAGGCTAGTCTCAAACTCCTGGGCTCAAGCAGTCCTCCTGCCTCAGCCTCCCAAAGTGCTGGGATTACAGGTGTGGGCCACAATGCCCAGCCTGTCCCTGCATCTTTATATGTTTATTGCAAGTAGAAGACTAGCATAAACCTCCCAGCCTGATCAAGACAAAATCCCATCTCTACGAAAAATACAAAATTAGTGCATGCCTGTAATCCCAGCTACTCGGGAGGCTGAGGCAGGAGAATGGCTTGAACCTGGGAGGTAGAGGTTGCAGTGAGCTGAGATCGTACCATTGCACTCCAGCCTGGGCAACAAGAGTGAAACTCCATCTCCAAAAAAAAAAAAAAAAAAGATTAGGATAAACCTTAACTAAAATACTATGCATTTTCTTATTATTTTCCTCTTTTGCAAAAATGTGTTAAACTTCTGGATAATTAAGTAATATAATTAGTTGGGTTCTGATTAATATAGATGGAATTCATGCACATATCTTTTATATGCTCATATGTTCTTGTAGTCGTCAGTTTTAATTCTTAAAAATGTGATTATTGTAATAAACTTTCATTATATCTTATGTAAAATAATTGTGTGTCTGAGACAGACTAAAACTCATGCTCTACTTCTCATGATTTCTCTTTCTTTTTTGTTTACCTTTCATAGAAAGAAGAAGTATAGCCTCAGTATTTGTGTGTATTTTTGAAAGAGTAAAATGGGGACTAAGAAGGTATATCTACATGCTATACCTTTTGATAGCATTCTGTTTCAAATCTCCACTTCTCATCATTGACTGGAACACAGTTGAAAAAATATTAAACTGATTTTGTGATGATGAATTTAGGAATTCCAGTTAGCTAAGGATTAGGAAAACTGATTTTCAGAGGCATATTCTGATCCAGAATGGGACTTTAATATATTATATTATACTAAGACGTAAGGCAGTAGTCTACTAAAATAGAGTACTTGAGCACCATAATACTCATCTCAGTCAATTGAAGTATTCAGGATCAATGATAAAGTCCATTCAGTACTCCTAAATAATAAACCTTTTTTAAAAAAGTAATTATCAGTAACCTCTGGGTACATGACTATACCAAAGTTAGCAAGTGATTCCAAAGATTTTTAATAGAATCGAGGCCTGATTTTACAAGTTAAATGAAAAAGAATTCTAGGAAAAACCTTTCATTGGCACCTTTATGAAGGATTACTTCTTTTTTTTTTTTTTTTTTTTTGATACAGAGTCACTCTGTTGCTCAGGGTGGAGTACAGTGGCGCGATCTTGGCTCACTGCAACCTCCGCCTCTTGGGTTCAAGTGATTCTCCTGCCTCAGCCTTCTGAGTAGCTGGGATTACAGGCATGCGCCACCATGGCCGGCTAATTTTTTGTTGTATTTTTAGCAGACACATGGTTTCACCATGTTGGCCAGGCTGATCATGAATTCCTGTCCTCAGGTGATCCACCTGCCTCGGCCTCTCAAAGCGCTGGGATTCCAGGCGAGAGCCACCATGCCCAGCCTATGAATGGTTACTTCTTAAAATTCATACAAGTAATATGACATGTGTTTTTTAGAAGTCTTATTTAATAAATTTGAAAGATATTAAATTATTAGAAAAATTATCTTGCCAAGAATTTCAAAAGTCAGGAAACAGCAGCACTCACCCACCTTCACTAACCAGCTCACTATTGTCTGACTGTTTACAAGAGATGATCTTCTCCACTAGTTGGTTGTAGCTGCAGTTACCAACAGCTTTTACGATGTCATCAATCTAGAAAACAAATGACTGTCTCACTAATCATGGTAAGATTAGAAACAAAACAAAAGAGAGCCATATCACTCTTTATAATTTTATTCTAATACTAAATATAAAACTATTATTTAAGAAAAACAAAATCAACACTAAAATCAACACCCAACAGTTTCCAAGTTTGTTTACAGCTCAGTATGACACATTACGAAAAATACTGCAGTTGTATTATTTTAATTATGCAAAAAAAGATTAAATAGGATTATTACATGCAACTTTATTTCTTAAGGTCATAAACATGTATTTAAGTGATCAAAATAAAACATAAACTATTTCAGGAGAAAAAATAAGAAAATATCCATTTTTTTTCACCCAGCATAAACTACCAAGCAACAGTTTTTTTTTTTTAAAAAACTAAAAAACAAATGCTGCATATTTAAAGCAAGGCAACTTTAAATATGTTAATTTATAGGATTAATAAAATTATTACATTTTATTACTTATTTCCTAGAGAAGTATAGTGGAGATGTGAGTAGAGATAACTAACGTTATTTTCCTGAAGAAAAGTATGTTAATCAGGAATGGTATCTGCTTTATGATTCTTATTTAATCTTTGTTTTTGGAGGTACAGCAGAAGAGTAAATTTAAACTTTTAAGCTATAGGAAAATAAAATTGGGCTTCTTTACTCTGTCTCCATTACACTTTGCTTTGACTATAGAAGAAAAAGAGGTTTCTACTGTCTAAACAACTTATATAGTTGCCTTTCCATACATAAAAATATATTTATATTTATTTATAAATTATTTACGTGTATTGCTGTATTAACAAGTTATATACCTAATAAATACAAATTTTAGAATTATATAAATAAAAATAAGAGGGCCAATGTTTTCTTCCTACATTCAAATGATCACCTTTGAATATTACAGGTCTCAACATATATCTGCACATACTCAGCAGTGGTTTTCAAACTTGGGGAGCTTACTAAAAAGATGTAAAAGAATTTCAGGCTCAAGTTGCTTCTCAATTGTGTAAGTTTTCATTCCACTGAGCAGGTGATTCCGATGCATAACAAGTTTGAGAACCACCATTCTAGGCTATAATTTATTTTCCTTGTTTATGAAAAAGTCTACAATACTAAAAGACTCTTAACTCATACAACTGGAACTGATGATTGGTTGAGACGACAATCAGTTAATTCAAAACGTCAAAGCAGGAAATTGTGGAAAATGTTTACAGGCATAGATATCTTAAACATTTTTTTTAGTGGGGGGAATGGAGTCTCATTCTCTTGCCCAGGCTGGAGTGCAGTGGTGTGATCTTGGCTCATTGCAACCTCTACCTCCCAAGTTCAAGTGATTCTCCTGCCTCAGCCTCCCGAGTAGCAGGGATTACAGATACCCGCCACCACACCTGACTAATTTTTTTGTTTGTTTGTTTTTAGATGGAGTCTCGCTCTGTCACCAGGGTGGAGTGTGGTGGGGCAATCTTGGCTCACTGCAACCTCTGCCTCCCAGGTTCAAGTGATTCTCCTGCCTCAGCCTTTCTAGTAGCTGGGACTACAGGCGCCTGGCACCACGCCCAGCTAATTTTTGTATTTTTTAGTACAGTCGGGGTTTCACAATGTTGGCCAGGATGGTCTTGAACTCCTGACCTCAAGTACTCTGCCTGTCTCAGTCTCCCAAAGTGCTGGGATTACAGGTGTGAGCCAATGTGCCTGGTCCATATCTTAAACATTTCATATTAACTTAAAACACAAAAATGTATTCAATGGTCAATCTTTTGACGCAGAGTCAAACAAATCCTTTTCTTTGCGAGAGGATCCTTGGGATGAGATTCTATGTAGATTGCACAAAAGACATCTATGAGTTCCAGCTTTGATTTATGTAAAATGAGAAGTTAGACCCTTAAGAAACAATTTGAGGGCACAATCTCTTCAGATGTTATTTTCCTCAACACCTTTACTTTATAGTGCTTTTCATTAGTGACTCAATTTCAGTAAGTCTTTTCAAAGAATCTGAATTTTCAATTCTAAGAAATCCACAAAAATACAGCTACAATAAGTTGGCTGTGGTGGCTCACACCATAACGCAAACACTTTAGGAAGCTGAGGCAGGAGGATATCTTAAGGCCAGGAGTTCAAGACCAGTCTGGGCAACACAGCAAAACTCCTGTCTCTAAAAATAAAATAAAATATTTTTTTGAGATTTTTTTCTTACTCTGTCTCCCATGCTGTGTCACCCACAATGGAGTGCAGTGGTGTGATCTGGGTCTCACTGTGTCACTCTCGCTGGAATGCAGTGGTGTGATCACAGCCCACTGCAGCCTCAACCTCCCAGGCTCAAGCAATCCTTCCACCTCAGCCTCCTGCATAGCTGGGACTATAGGCACACGCCACCACACTCAGCTAATTTTGAAATTTTTGGTAGAGACAGTCTCATTATGTTGTCCGGGCTGGCCTCAAACTCCTGGGCTCAAGCAATTCTCCCACCTTGGTCTTTCAAAATGTTGGGATTACAGGTGTTAGCCACCACGCAAGGCCTCTAACAAAACATTTTTTAAAAAACTAGCTGGACATGGTGGTGCACGTCGATAGTCCCAGCTATTCAAGAGGCTGAGGCGAGAGGATTGCCTGAGTCCAAGAGTTCCAGGCTGCAATGAGCTATGATCATGCTACTACACATCAATCCGCCTGGGCAATGGGGCAAGACACTGTCTGTAAAACAAAACAAAACCCCCCAAAACCCAACTACAATAATAAACACAAGATCAACAGGCTGGGCATGGTGGCTTATGCCTATAATCCCAGCACTTTGGGAAGCTGAGGTGGGCAGATCACCTGAGGTCGCGAGTTCCAGACCAGCCTGGCCAACAAGATGAACCCTCATCTCTACTAAAAATACAAAAAATTAGCCAGGCGTGGTGGTGGGCACCGGTAATCCCAGCTACTTGGGAGGCTGAGACAGGAGAATCACTCGAAATCGGGAGGTGGAGGTTGCAGTGAGCCAAGATCACGCCACTGCACTCTAGCCTGGGCAACAAGAACAAAATGCCATCTCAAAAAAAAAAAAAAAAAAAAAAAGACCAATATACAAGAATCGAATATATTTCTCTAGAGTAGCAATAAAAAAGATTTCAAATATTCATAGGCAGAATCCAGAATCTGTACATTGGTGTTTCACTCAAGGCCAGGTGTGGTGGCTCACATCTATAATCCCAACTTTAGGAGGCTAGTGGGGGAGGACTGCTTCAGCCCAGGAATTTGAGACCACCCTGGGCAACATAGCAAGACTTTGTCTTCACAAAAAATAAAAAATCTAGCCAGGCATGGGAGTGTGTGCCTGTAGTCCCAGCTACTCAGGAGGCTGAGACAGGACTGCTTTAGCCCAGTAGTCCCAGGTTGCAGTGAGCTATGATCATGCCACTATACTCTAGCTTGGGTGTCAGAGTAAGATCTTGTCTTTCCCACCCCAGAACTCCATTCATCCAATTTATTTGGATGTCTATTACATACTACTACATACAAGGTGCCATTAGAGAATCTATACACACAACAGTGAGCAAAATAGTTTATGCTTTCATAAAGCTTATATTCTAGAGTAATAATAAACCAAATCAACAAATACATAGTGTAAGGTTGTTGTATATAGTGGTATGCACATGTTTGTTTTCATTGTAGTATAGTATTCCATAGAATATACCATAATGTGGTTATTCATTTGTCTTTTGATGGTTATTCAACTTGTTTTCAGTTTGGGATTATGGCAAATAATACTGCTGTGAAAAACTCTAGGACATTTATCCTGTTCCACTCATCAGGAGTGTATGCCTTGCCAAATTGCTGGGTCTTAAGGAACGCTTAGCATCAACTTTAATGGATAAACTAAACTGGCTTCCAAAGTAAATGGTCAATTTCCATTCTCACCACAAGGAATGAGACTTCTCTATGCTGCACATCTTTGCCAACATTTAATATTGTCAAATTTTTATTTTTTTATTTTTGTTTTTTGAGACAGAGTCTCACTCTGTCGCCCAAGCTGGAGTGCAGTGGTGCATTCTCAGCTCACTGCAACCTCTGCCTCCTGGGTTCAAGCAATTCTCTCTGCCTCAGCCTCCCGAGTAGCTGGGATTACAGGCACCCGCCATGACGACACCCAGCTAATTTTTGTATTTTTAGTAGAGACAGGGTTTCGCCATGTTGGCCAGGCTGGTCTCTAACTCCTGGCCTCAAGTGATTCACCTGCCTCAGCCTTCCAAAGTGCTGGGATTACCGCGTGAGCCACCAGGCCCGGCCTACAGCAGTTTTATCATGATGGCCAGGGACTGGAAAACGCCCAGATGCTCTTTAACAAGTAAAACCACAGTATGTCCACACCATAGAATAGTACTCAGTAATAAAAAGGAACAAACTATTGATAGATGCAACAATCTGGATGATGCTTTGGAGACTTATGATATATCTGAAATGCCAATCCAAAAAGATTACACACTGTATTATTTTGCTTATATAATATTCTAGAAATAACAAAATCATAGAAATGGAGAAAGATTAGTGGTTGTCAGGGGTTAAGAAGAGGGTAAGGGTGTGAGAGAAGTGGGTGTGGATATAAAAGGGCATCAGGAGGGATTCTTGTGTTAATAGAAATGTTCCGTATCTTGACTTTATTTGTTTACTTATTTATTTATTTTGAGACAGGGTCTCGCTCTCTCTCTCCGGCTGGAACGCAGTGGTGTGATCACAGCTTACTGTAGCTTCAACTTCCTAGGCACAAGTGATCCTCCCACCTCAGCTTCCTGAATAGCTGGGACTACAGGCATGTTCCATCATGCCTGGCTAATTTTTGTAGACATAAGGTTTTGCCATGTTACCCAGGCTAGTCTTGAACTCCTGGGCTCAAGTGATCCTCTTGCCTTGGCCTCCCAAAGTTCTAGGATTATAGGCATGAGCCACTGTGTCCAGCCATGTATTTTGACTTTATTAATGTCAATTTCCTAGTTTTGATATTTTACTAAATTTTGCAAAATTACTAAATTTTCCCATTGGGGAAAACTGGGTAAAAGGTATGAGGGATCGTTATTTATTATTTCTTTTTTTTTTTTTTTTGAGATGGAGTCTTGCTCTGTTGCCCAGGCTAGAGTACAGTGGCACCATCTTGCCTCACTGCAAACTTCGCCTCCTGGGTTCAAGTGATTCTCCTGCCTCAGCCTCCTGAGTAGCTAGGATTACAGGTGCCCACTACCACAACCGGCTAATTTTTGTATTTTTTAGTAGACACGGGGTTTCACCATCCCGGCCAGACTGGTCTTGAACTCCTGACCTCATGATCCACCCGCCTCGGCCTCCCAAAGTACTGGGATTACAGGCGTGAGCCACTGCACCCAGCCCATTCTTTATTATTTCTTACACTGGCATGTGAATCTACAATTACTTCAAAATAAAAAGTTTAATTTATAAAAAAGGTAAATTCTCACCTCATACCATAAAACAAAATAAATTTGAAAGGCATTGGCTGGTAGGAGTCCTTTGTCTTTTTCTTTTAAAGTTCACAATTAACCAATATTATTTTGAAATTTGAATCTTACTTATGTTAAAAAATGTAAGTAAGTGAAAATAATATTACAACAGTATAGGAATAGACATAACAGATCAGTGGAAAAGAGAAGACTCTAACCTATATAAAAATTTAGTATGTGATAGTAGAATTATTTTTTCCTTTCATTCTTCCAATTGACTCTCCATTTCTTCTCTATTCGGGAGACTAACCTCTATGGACTGCGGCAACTGGAATTCTTACTTTCTAGTTATCAGCTGAATTTGGCCACTGGGAGCTACTGGAGGAAATCAGAAAGTGGCAGTCAGAGAATGTTTTACCTATGCTCTTTCCCTGCCGGGCCATAGCTTGGTGGTAGTATTCCGCTCCTGCAGGTCACATCTCCTGGTCAGGAGCTCTGTGCTTTACTAATCAATCTTGCTGTGTTCTGCTAAGTATTCCCTCTCCTTGTCTCTTCAGAGTTAGGAGTGGCAATCATTTTCTGCTGTTGCTAGGTCTAAGATGCTTCACCAACCTTTGCTTGTTCCCCTTAACTTTGTCCACACCTTTGTAAATAGCCTCTTCATTAAACTTCTGACAGTTATCCTTAAGTGTGTCATCTACTTCCTGCCAGGACCCTGATACCCTTGACAAGAGGCAAAATCTGGATTGCTAAAATGGATAGATGGCAGTGCCTTTTTAAAATAAATGTTTAGGTAATACAAAATCTCTTTTCAAAGCTATGCAATAAAGAATATGGTTTTGCCCAAAGAGAGGTTTGACCTTTGTCCCGGCTCCTATGAAATAACTTCTAAATCTTGGCAATTCCGTACCAATAGGACTGACTGTGTTATTTATCGTGGGCTCCTTGGGCCACACCTGCAGTTTATACTAATGATGGATCCCTTGAACCACATGGTGTCAGCTCAGCTTCCAGGGAGGAAAGGGTAGGAGTCTGGGTTCAATTACATGGGCAATAAATTAAATCATACCTACATAATGAAATCTCAATAAAAAATCTGAACACTGAAGGTTGGGTGAACTTCCAGGATTGGCAGCACTCCACGCATATTGTCATACATCAATTCCAGGAGGGTATGATGTCCTGAGGATCCAAGGGGAAGCTTCACAGTTGGAACCCTCCGAGATTCTGCCATATATCTCTCTTTCCTTGGCTAATTTTAACCTGTATCTTTGCCCTGTAATAAACTGTAATGGTGAGTATAATAGGTTTCAGGGAGTCCTGTCAGTCACTCTGGTGAATTACTGAACCTGAGGGTAGTTTTGGGAAACCTCTGAACTTGTGATTGGTGTGAGAAGTAAGGGTGGTCTTCTATGAGCTCTTCACTCTAACCTTGTAGTTTTGCCCTAGCTCCTTGCAGTTGGGGTCAGAGGTCTTGGGCAGACTTAGTAGTCTGGAGGACTGCGCTCTTAACCTCATAGTTTGGCTAATTCCAGGCAAAAGTGCAAAAAAAGTAAGTAACAAAAAATATAAATTGAGATTAATTTTCCAAATTAATACATTTTTCCTGCATTTGTGTTTATATAATTTAAATTCTTTGACTTACCTGAGGGTCTACTAACCACCCATGGTACAAAGGAATATCAAGAAGATCAAATACTATGCATTCTGGTGTATATTCAAACACTCGAACACCAGTGAATCTTACATTTACATCCAGGCCTGTCTGTAGTTTGTGCAGAATTGCCATGGCATCACTCATATTCTGAAAACAGAAAAGGGGAAAGTTCTAATTCAGAAACATCAAAACACAAACAAAAAAGATATTCAAGTACAAGCACATTTACTTTTAATTTCCATTTTATCCAGTAAATTCAATTCAACATATTTTTATTATTGAGTATCTACTATGTGTCAGGCACTAATTGGAGTTTGAAAGATATAACAATGAATAAAACAGACACTGAGGTGGGCGGATCACTTGAGGTCAGGAGTTTGAGACCAGCCTGGCCCACAGGGTGAAACCCTGTCACTAAAAATACAAAAATTAGCTGGGCGTGGAGGCATGCACCTGTAGTCCCAGCTACTTGGGAGGCTGAGGTGGGAGGATCACTTGAACCCAGGAGGTGGAGGTTGCAGTGAGCCGAGATCGTGCCACTGCATTCCAGCCTGGGCAACTGAGCGAGACTCAGTCTCAAAAAAACAAAACAAAACAAAACAAAACACGACAAAGTTCATGCTCTTATGCAACTAATATTCTATTGAGAGAGATAAACATGTATATATATAAAACAATGTCAAGTATTAGTAAGAAAAACTGAGCAAGAAGAGGTTGTAGAAAGTAGGAGAAATGAAGGACCTATGTTAGACCAGAAAGTCTAAAGTCAAATGTTTTTAAAGTCAAAGAGGAAGGCCTCTTCTACTGTTGAATCTAAAATAATTGAAAGCAGGATCTTGAAGAGACACTTGTACCCCCATGCTCATTGCAACATTATTCGTAATTCTTTATCCATTCTTAGTTACAACTGACAAATGAATACAGAAAATGAGGTATATACATACAATGGAATATTATTCAGCCTTAAAAAAAAGAAGGAAATCCTGTCATATGCTACAACCTGGATGAACCTTGAGGACATCTTGTTGAGTGAAATAAGCCAGTCACAAAAGTAAAAATACTGTATGATTCTACTTATATGAGATATTTAGAGTCATCAAAACCATAAAAACAGAAAGTAGAATGGTTGTTTCCAGGGGACTGGAGCAAGTGGGAAAGGGGAGTTGTTTGATGGATATAGGGTCTCACTTTGCTGCTCAGGCTAGAGTGCAGTGGTGTGATCATGGCTCACCACAGCCTCAAACTCCTGGGCTCAGGTGATCCTCCCGCCTCAGCCTCCCATGTAGCTGGGGCTACAGGTACATGCTACCATGCCCAGCTAATGTTTTTGATATTTTGTAGAGATGGGCTCTTACTATGTTACCCAGGCTGGTCTTGAATTTCTTAGCTCAAGTGATTCTCCACCTCATCCTCTCAAAGTACTGGGATTACAGACACAAGCCACCATGCCTGGCAAGTTTCAGTTTTAAAGATGAAAAAGTGGCCGGGTGTGGTGGCTCACACCTGTAATCCCAGCACTTTGGGAGGCTGAGGCGGGTGGATCACGAGGTCAGGAGATCGAGACCATCCTGGCTAACACGGTGAAACCTCGTCTCTACTAAAAATACAAAAAATTAGCTGGGCATGGTAGGAGGCAACTGTAGTCCCAGCTACTTAGGAGGCTGAGGCAGGAGAATGGTGTGAACCTGGCAGGCGGAGCTTGCAGTGAGCCAAGATTGCACCACTGCACCTCCAGCCTGGGCGACAGAGCAAGACTCCGCCTCAAAAAAAAAAAAAAAAAAAAAAAAGGATATATTTTATATTGTGTGGTTTCTAACACAATTAAAAAAAACAGAAATGAGCTATCAAGCCATGAAAAGACACAGAGAAAACTTAAATGCATATTAGTAAAAAAACAAGCTAATCTGAAAAAGCTACATACTGTGTAATTCCAAATGACATTCTGGAAAGGGCAAGACTATAGAGACAGTAAAAAAGATCGGTGGTTGCCAAGGATTAAGTGAAGGGAGGAGTGAACAGGCAGAGTACAGAGAATTTTTAGGACAGTGAGACTATTCTGTATGATACTGTAATGACTGATATGCATCATTATACCTTTTTCAAAATCCATAGAATATACAAAACCAAGAAAGAGTAAATTATAGACTCTTGGTGATAATAATGTGTCACTGCAGGTTTATCAATAACAAATGAACCACTCTGGTGCAGGATGTTGATAGTGGGGGAAGCTGTGTGTGTGGAGTTAGGAGGAACAGTATAGAAATTCTCAGTACTTTCCATACTCAATTTTACAGTGAATTCACTGAAAAGGAAGGAAGGATGGAAGGGAGGGAGGGAGGGAGAAAGAGAGGAAGGGAGGGAGGGAGGGGAGTGGGGAATGTAAATGGGAGAGGAAAGAAGGAGAGGAAGGTGAGGGAGACAGGCCTCTTTGAAAATGACACTAGAATAGAGACCACAGTGAGCACTGACTCTTAGGAAGCTCTGGGCAAAGAGCATTCCAGACAAAGTAGACACCAGTGCAAAAACAAGTTTATTACTGTGTCCGTGGAACAGCATGGGGCCCAGTGTGGCTGGGACAAAATAAAAATGAAAAATTGTAGGAGATGAAGTCTAAGAGACAGGCAGAGGCTGGATCACAAAGACTTGTTTGTCAAATTAAGGAGTCATTCTGTCCACATCAGTTTTCTCAATAAATGTAGTCATATACATCTGGAATAAAGACTATTTTTAAATGCTTTTCTAAGCATGTCAACACATTAAATATGGACATATGTATAGAAAGTACACTTGAAAGAATAAAGAAAAACCGATACATAAAATTTAACACTTTTACTGAATCCTTACTGCTAATGAGACACTGTACAAGATACTAAAGACACAGAATATGAACAGTAGACTACAGTCTATAGAGGGGTTTGATAATAAAAAGGGTGAAAATGAAGGAAATCTTCTTATATTAAAACTAGGGATTCTCTTTCAAATTTGAACAAGACAAATTTAGGTTACAAAAACGAAGTTCTGTTTTATGAAATAATTCACAAAATTCCATTCTAACAGACTGTACAGACTGTAAACAGGAATCATTCAAATGTTTTAAATTCATGAATGATGCATTTATAATAGGATAACATTGTTATACTGCAGTATTTTACCTTTGTCAGTTTCATCTCTTCCTACTATGTATGTTTCCCCCAAACAACGTATTTTCTCTACCTTCCCAAAAATTGAACCCTTAAAAACAATCAGCTTACATTTTTTCCCTTAAGTGTTTTCGAACTTTTCTTAAATCTACAGCAATGATGAATCTGAAAAAATACTAACAATAGCAATCTAAGAATTATAGTTTTACAATCACCAGATTTTCCTCTAGTTTTGTAAATTTTTGGTTGTCAACCACCCAACTTCCTTCAGGGGCAATATGATTTCTAATGGCTCTGGGTTCAGGCTTATTCCTTCATATATTTGCTACAATTATTCCCCCTTATTTAGTATTAAAACAACTGAGTTAACACCATTTGATATCTTCATAAAGATTACTAAAACTGATGAAAGAGGCCAGTCACAGTGGCTCATGCCTGTAATCCCAGCACTCTGGGAGGCTGAGGTGAGCAGATCACTTGAGCCCAGGAGTTTGAGGCTGCAGTGAGCCACGACAGCACCACAGCAATCCAGACCATGTGACAGAGTGACAGACCTCGCCTCAAAAAAAAAAAGGCTGGCACGGTGGCTCACTCCTGCAATCCCAGGCAGGCAAATCACTTGAGGCCAGGAGTTCGAGACCAGTCAGGCCAACATGGTGAAATGCCATCTCTACTAAAAACAAAAAAAGTAGCCAGGAGACATGTCTGTAATCCCAGCTAATTGGGAGGCTGAGGCATGAGAATCCCTTGAACCTTAAAGGCAGAAGTTGTACTGAGCTGAGATCGTGCCACTGCACTCCAGCCTGTACAACAGAGGGAGACTGTCTTTGTTTTTTTGAGATGGAGTCTCGCTCTGTTGCCCAGGCTGGAGTGCAGTGGCGTGATCTTGGCTCACTGCAACCTCCACCTCCTGGGTTCAAGGGTTTCTTCTGTCTCAGCTTCTCAAGTAGCTGGGACCACAGGCGCATGCCACCACGTCCAGCTAACTTTTTGTATTTTTAGTA